GCAGGAAGTGCCTCGGGTGAAAGTTATCATAGCTAGTGACCGTCCCAGCTGGAAATGACATGGCAGCACGACGCAGGTCGGCTGGCTCCAGGAGCGGGCACATCGATCGGTCTGGTACCCAGGGTGGGAGAGCGACGTCGGAAGCATGCCGTAGACGACGATGCAGTTCCACTTCCTGCGCAACGATAATAACAGGGTCACCTGACTGAATACCAGCTGCCACAGCTGGCGTCGGGATAGCCTTGACCTTGGTAAGTCGATGCAGAGGGCGGGCGCCGCCGCAGGATGCTGCACTGCACCAGTCGGCCCATGCTGCATTGGCATCTTTGGTCTGACCTTTGACTGCCAGGGTTACGCCATCAGCAATATCATCGACGAACGATTGAATCTGGCCCATGTCCATGGGGATGGCATTGATTAGGTTTCTCGCCTGCACGACCGTGGCGTCTAGGCGAGCGTTGAGGCCTTGGCCCGGGTCCGGTGACGTCACAAACAGGGCGATCTCCTCAGAGCATTGCACCATGGAATCATCTTTGGTATTTAACGCTTGAATCGTGGTGACCATGTTCTGCAACCACTGCCAGCCTTGACAAATACTCTGTATTTCATTCGGATCCTTAGTCGGGTATGTCACATTGATCCATCGAGGCTCGAGCTTTCTGGCACATGCACTGGGCTCACGAAGCTCCACTCCAACATTCTGCGCAATGTACTCGGCGAAGGAAACAGCAAATCGCCCGTACACGCGTGTGAGGAGTGCCCAGACCACCGCCACGTCGCTGCTGGGGTCAGCCGCCAGCTCGACGGTGCGCTCAGCAAGGGCTCGATGTAGCGTCCAGTCGGTAGGCCTCGTGCGCGGCCCTGGCGGCGGGGTGGCAGGCAGCTTGGAGGAGACAGAATGCACATAGTGCTGCACGCCCGCCCCGTTGTCAATCAGCTGCAACTGCACAGGACGATGAGCCTTCTTGTGCCAGGTCATGACCGCGTTGACTCCCCGATAACCACGGACAACAGCATCATTGAGGCAGAAAAAGTCGATAGCGCTGGCGCCCATGCCTCCTCGGAACGTAGCCTGAGCAGGGAAGGCCAGAACCATGTCCACCTGCTGCGGGAAAAGGCTTTGCTCCAGATCAGTCGGCGCCATGTTCCAATCACCACCCATGATGGCGGGCCCAGAACATGTCGAGAGCAAGCGACCTGCAGCAGCTAATATCTCAGCGTTTATGCCAACACCCCCAAGGGAATCTTGCATATACACATTGAAGATCGTGATGGGGGGCCAACCGCTGATGTCAACACTGACCTGCTGGAGTCGGTGGTCCCACACCAGCTGCCCTTGAGGTGGATGCCGAAGGCCCAGTGCGTCTCGAACGAACACTGCAACTCCACCTGAGGGAACGGTACCTGACGTACGACGGGCAGGTATGGCAGAGCATTTCCATTGACGGTTCTGAGCCCAGGAGTGAAGATCATCCAAGCTGTCCTCAATGTATCCTAGCTCCTGGCATAGCAGTATCGTAGCTTTCGTCTTGGTCAATCGTGCCTTCAACGTGTCACGGCCTCCAGAAGCATTGAAGGTTTCAACAAAGAATGTGCCTTGAACATTAGGCTGCGCATGTCGCCGAACCGCTCCATCACAGAGCTGCAGACCTGACACGAGAGGAAGGTTAGGAACGTTTCCTTCGCTATGTCCCCAAGCGTTTTGGCGAAAGCCTCTGCACCTGACTTGGCCGCCTCGAAGAGCTGCTCTCTCTCAGACTCCTCCAGCTCGTCCAGGGAGCGCTTGAGATCGCCGCCGCCGTCGCCGCCAGCGTCACCAGGAAAATCATCAGGTGCCTGTGGCATGGAGGCGTCCTTCGGGGCGGGCATCTTACCCGCGAGGTGCTCTCGGAGCTTGGCCCAGGCGGTAGACCCAAGCAGCGTGCGCACTTCCTCATCGTCGACATCGTCTGGCTTGACGTCGAGCGGGTTGGAATCTGACTTGTCCGTAGCCTTGCCGCCAAGCTGCTGTGCTGCCTGGCTGACCTCCGCGCGCAGCACAGTGACCTCGATCTTCTTGGCCTCCAGCGTGGCGCGCTTATTCTTGAGGGATTCTTGCAACTCGTCGAGCTGCTTCTGCTTCTCGGTGATGTCCGCTTCCAGCTTAGTGACTGCAGACGTAGCCTTCTGCAGATTAGAAGTGGCCCTGCGGTGCACCACGGCAGGGGTGCGCAGAGCCTTCTGCTGGTCACGAACTCCTTCAATCTTCCGCTGAATGCTCGAGCGGAGCTCGTCGTTGTCCGAGCCGTGAGGGACCAACTTGAGACTGGCCTCGAAGCATGCCAGCTGGTTCGCAAGCTTGCGCTTCTTGACCTCGTCGGTGTCATCGTCCGCGGTTGTGTTATCCTTCTTGGGGTCAGCGCTGGCCTGCCAAGGTGGAGGCTTGGCGCTGGCCTCGCCCTCCTTGTCAGCAGGCTGGGACGTCTGCCCTCGCAAGAGCTTCTCAATCTCCGCCAACCGCTTGCCGAGCTCGGACGGCACAGTCGACGATGGGACCCCCCGCTGATTGGGGCCCGTGCTCTTGCCCTTGCCGCCGCGGCCTCCGCCGCCAGCAGCGTGCTCCTTCTCCCATCGTTGGTGCTGCTCCACGGCCGTCTTGCGGATGCGCAGCGGAGCCTCCCGCCCACAGGCGCAGCGCACACGGCAGGCCCAGTTGGAGGGGGCCATGCCGCAGGCCCCGCAGGCCCAAGTCGGCCTCCTGGGGCCGCGCAGGACATCGGGCAGGTCGGGCGGCGGCGGTGCCATCGGCCGCCGCACTGGGAGGGAGCCAAAACTGTCGGGATGATCGTAGATGGTGGCCCGCAAGCACGAGCCGCACTGAAAGGAGGAGCCCCTCCCCCTCTCCCTCCCCCTTCGCCTCCTCCTCCTCCTCCTCCCCCTCCCCCTCCTCCTCCTCCTCCTCCTCCTCCTCCCCCTCCTCCTCCGACGACGACGACGGCGACGACGACGACGACCCCGCAGCCAAGTCTGGCTCCAGGGGGCTGCCCGCAACCGCCCACGCGCTGCCCTGCCCTGGCCGAGGCCCAGGATTCGGCCCCTCGCCATTCGCTGCCCTGCGCCTCCAGCGATGGCGGGGTCTCGTGTCGCCACCCTGCGCTGCGATGTTCTTCATTGATTTGGGCGCGATGAATCAGGGGAGTGGGCGGACGAGGCGCCCTCTTCGGACCCTCGAGGCTCCCTTTCTGGGCCCATTCTGGGCCTCAGAGGGCCCCATCAAGGGTCCCGAAAGCCCCTCGAGGGCCCCCTTTTTTCTGCATCCTTCGCTGCCCCCCCGCATGTATCGCCCCTCCCCGGCCCCCCCTCGTCCACCTCCATCCTCCCAGCCAGCGCAGTCTAGACAAGCGCAGTCCAATACTCGCAAAGCAGCTACTCGCAAAGCAGCCGTTCGCTGATGGTCTGGATCCGCCGAGGGTAATCTGCGATCCCTTGCGTCGGGGCAGGCATGTGCGTCTCCTCGGACGTCTGCGAGTAGGCACTTTGCGAGTAGTGGAACGCGCTCGGTGATCATCCAATTCTTCTTTCGTCCTCACCCTCATGGGGTATGACGGCTTCCCCAGCCCTTCATGTCACTGCAGGCTCCTCCACACCCCTGATTGGGAAAACTCGCCAGGGCATCGTTTCCAGATGGGCTGGTAAAATTACGAATAGCGTCTAAAACTGTTTCTAGTGGCCCTTTTCTGTAGAATAGCAATCATACCGCCGGCAGGCGTGTGGGGCTGGGGCTTCTCCATAAGCCTCGGGCTGTCTCCCCAGCGGTTAACAGGCAACGCACAGCAGACCCCCCCCGCTGGGTCTGTACAGCACTTTGTACACACACACATCGGATGTGTGTACACACACACATATATAAATATATATATATATATATATATGTGCATATAGATGTGTCTTGTCTCAGGCGGACGTTGACCGGAACGCCCTGGTCAAGGCGCAGCAGCTGCAAATCTCGAGGCTCAAACCCATCTGGACCTCGCGGAAACGCTTGACAACCTCGGGCCCCGAACCCGAACGAGCCGTGCGGAGATTGTGTCACTACTTCGCGTAACGGCCGTTACCCGGTGACGGCTGGGCGTGGTGACACTGCACGAGGCGCAGCATACCTTTGAGCAACAAAACCTGCGAAAGCAGGGTCCAAGCCCCCCCCTCACGAACGTCGGGGATCTTCTGACCCGGGTCAATCCAGACCCGGGTCAGCAGGAAACCAAAAACTGCAATGCAGGAAAAAAAAACTGCAACGCAGGTCCTCGCAAACCCGGGTCAGCCAATACGCGCGGCCGCCTCGCGGCCACGAGCGGCTCCCTAACCCGGGTCAGCCAGAGGGGGCCTTCGCTGGATCCTGCAGGATCCGGCGCTCTGGCTGACCCCCGTTTGCACTGACCCCCGTCTCGAGGCTCCCGAGAACGATTATTTCCTTTTTTTCCGGGGGCTTGGCCCGGGTATCGACCGTGACCCGCCAAGGGATGACAAACATCCGCCACCGTGCCGCTGGGCACGTAGTGGGCGTGTCCTCAGGTCTTTGGCCTCATCCTCTAACCTTAGGTCGGGCATGTCCCCTTACAGGCGAATTTTGGACGATATATAAACAACGTTCCAACAAATATTCAAACATGTTCACAACTATTCTTGAATAGCCTCCTGTCGACAGACAGGCCCGACTTAACTCTAAGACTCAATCCTCACTTCTGAGGGGTCTAGAAAGGGGCCTGGAACCCTCACTCTCGAATCTTCGTGAACCTGGCGCGTCTTCTGGGGTGACTTTTTCGGCCGCAGGGCCACAAAAAGAGACCAGAGGGTCCCAAAAGGCCTCCAGGAGGCCCCCGAGAGGCCTCCCACGAGATCCCAACGAACATGGGGCGTCATACCCACAGCCTGGGCACGGTGGCGGGATGGGGCCGAAGGCCATTCGATACCTCGTGCGTTTCAACTCGCGACGCGAGGAGGTCTGGGAGTGTGGTGCCCGCCTCGTGCTCGTAGGAGTCGTCGAAGACCACGCACCTGAGACGAGTGCCGTTGTGGTACACAACCCCTGGGATTAGGTCGGGCATGTCCTCCTACAGGCGGGCTTTGTAATAGAATGCAACTCGTCAAAAAATGAATCAAAAGATCAAACAAACACTCAAAATCGTGCCCAGGATGACATGCCCGACTTAACCCCCATGGGCCCTCGGGGATCTCCTGAGTCGGGTCAATCCAGACCCGGGTCAATCAGGCCCTGCAAAATCCTGCAGGATCCTGCGAGATCCTGCACCCAAGCCGGGGGCAGCGCGAAGGATCCTGCAAGAAGATCCTGCAGGAGCCTGCACCCAGACCCGGGTCAAGGCGACCCCGGCCCTGCAGGATCCTGCAAGATCGGGCGCTCGGGCTGACCCCCGTCTCAGGACCCCCGAGGCGCTGCACCGCGCGGCGCGCCGGCCCCAGACGATGCCGGGGGGGGGGGGGGGGGCGTGGGGAGGAGGGCGGCGCGGGTGCCCCGGCCGCCCCGCGCTCTCAGCAGGGAACGCGCGGCCTGGGTGAGGCAGTGATGGATCCTCTGGGTGGGGGGGGGGAGGAGGAGGAGGAGGAGGAGGAGGAGGAGGAGGAGGAGGAGGAGGAGGAGGAGGAGGAGGAGGGAGGAGGAGGAGGAGGAGGAGGAGGAGGGAGGAGGAGGAGGAGGAGGAGGAGGAGGAGGAGAAGAGAGGGGAGGAGGAGGAGGAGGAGGAGGAGGAGAGGAGGAGGAGGAGAGAGAAGGAGGAGGAGGAGGAGGAGGAGGAGAGGAGGAGGAGAAGGAGGAAGGAGGAGGAGGAGGAGGAGGTGGAGGAGGAGGAGGAAGAAGAGGGTGCATGTGCTGTCGGAACGGATGGAGATGGAGGGCTTGCTGTTGACACCCACAATGGGTCGGAATGCCCATACGGCCCCCCACCACACGAGGACCAGGAGGAAGGCGGAGCACCGGGAGGCGCAGGCGACCACCCAGGGCTGCCCCGACACTCCGCCCCAGTCCGTGCGATCTCAGCCGAGAGACGGGCGGGGGGGGGTGAAGGGGGGGGGGAGAAAGAGCACGAGGAAGAGAAAAGGAGAAGAAGGAGGAGGAGAAGGAGGAGGAGGAGGACGATGAGGAGAAGGACGGAGGGGAAAGGGGGGATGTGCAAGTGCCGTCGGAGGGTCAGTCACCTGGCCACCCCCCTTGGTAACCACCTCGTCCACAGTGCCCCCCCACCCCCTCGCGCGGTGAGGTCATAGCCGCGGCGGGCAGGCGGGCTCTCTCGCCGCTCTGTCGGCCTCTGTGGGCCGGCCTCCGGGCTGTTGTCAGGTCGGGCCTGCCCCTCCACAGGAGGAATATTCAACAATAGTCAAAACTATGTATGGGAACGATGTTTTGAATAGTTGTTTGCTATTTTACAATAATTGTTTTGGGGTATTTGAATTAATTCGCCCCAAATCCGATTGTAGGGGGACATGCCCGACCTCAGGATATTGGGCTGCCCACGAGAACGCCCGGCAACGAACCTCGAGCCTCGAACCTCGGACGTCGTCGGGAGCCCATGCCGATCTGATTCGCGACATCGCTGCCAGCTCTGCCCCTCCCCCAGCCAACCATGCCCACCGCAGCGTCGGCGACTCCAAAGGGTGCGGTTTGCACAGGGTGTGGTTTGCAACTGGGACCCTGGGGAACATCCTGGGGGGCACCCTAGGGGGGCGCGCGGGGACCTCGATAAGGTTCTCCCGCGCCACGAGGAGGCCGGACAAGGACAGTGTCGTGCCCCCCAGGCCCCAACGGTGCCGATCCCAAACCCCCCCCGGCGTAACCATACCCTTTGTAGTCGCCGACAATGGTCACCTCACGATCCGCGCCGGCGCCGTCTGGGAATCGTGGCCGAAATGGAGGTGGAACTGCATGCGGACCCTGCCTCTGGGGCCTTGAGCGGAGCGCTTTTTGGGGCCACCGAACGTGAGGGGTGCGGCACAATGGAGGTGGAACTGCATGCGGACCCTGCCACTGGGGCCTTGGGCGGAGTGCCCTATGGCGCCACCGAACGTGAGGGGTGCGTCCGAATGGAGGTGAAACTGCATGCGGATCTGGCCACTGGGACCTTCGTTGGATCTCCCTATGAGGCCCCGAAACGTGAGGGGTGCGCCGAACTGGAGGTGGAACTGCATGCGGACCCTGCCACTGGGGCCTTGGGCGGAGCGCCCTATGGGACCACACAACGCGCGAGGGCCGCGCCGAAATGGAGGTGGACTGCATGCGGACACTGCCACTGGGGCCTTCGGCAGAGCACCTCATGGGGCTCCGAAACGTTTGAGGTGTGCGCCGAAATGGAGGTGGAACTGTATGCGGACCCTGCCACTGGGGCCTTCGGTGGAGCACCCTATGGGGCCCCGAAGCGCTGTACTGGGTGAGTGAAGCGCAGGGAGGACGCAGGGAGGAAGGAGGAGGAGGGAGAGGTGGAGGAAGGAAGGAGGGAGGAAGGGAAGGAGGAGGAGGGGAAAGAGGAGGAGGAGGAGGAGGAGGAGGGGGAGGAGGAGGAAGGAGGAGGGGGAGGAGGAGGAGGGGGAGGAGGAGGGGAGGGAGAAGGAAGGAGGAGGAGGAGGGGAGGAGGAAGGAAGGAGGAGGAGGAGGAGGAGGAGGAGGAGGAGGAGGAGGAGGAGGAGAAGGAGGAGGAGGAAGAGGGGGAGGGAAGGAGGGAGGGAACGCGGGGACCGTCTCTTCAACACGGGGACCCAGCACCACAGGATGGTTTGGAGCGAGAACTCTCGAACCTGGACCCTCGAACCTAGACCCTCGAACCTAGACTCTCGAACCTAGTCCCTCGATTCTCCATCCTAGAACCCTCTCGAACCTAGACCCTCGAACCTGTTTGGGAGAAAGAACTCTCGAACCTAGACCCCTCTCCCCCCTCTTGCTGCATGGAGCAAGGTGCTGCTCAGTCTGACCCAAATGCTGGCCGCAGCCTGGCCTCTCTGGAAGAAGAAAACATGCACACACAGAAATGTCCGGAGCTCCGCGTTGACTTCTTGGATCTGCGCTGGACTCCACCCACGGCGCGCGGAGCACGCAGGGGGCGGCGCCGCATGCGCCGTGGGGGGGGGCCGGTGCGGGTCCGAGAGACCCGTGCGAGGCGCCCAAAAGTCGGGGGCGCGCCAAAATGGATTAGCGGTCCGGTCGCCAAACCCAGGGATCGGGGGAGGTGCCCTCCCCAAAAAATGCAGCCGGTGCCGCCTCGCTCGGCGGCGGAAATCCGCGATTCCCTATGGAAACGGGGCCCGCCGCCAATCCACGCCCCCTTTTGATCCATGCTTGCGGTCGCCTGAACGAAACCCGTGCGAAGCGCCAAGAGTTAACGTCTGTGGCACTATCTCTTCTTCGCCTCCCCCCACGCACCTGCTGTCAAGTCGGGCATGTCCTCCTGCAGGCGGATTTTGGACGAAAAAGTAAAGATACTCAGAAAAGAACAAACAAATCTGTAAGAATGGTCAAACATTGTCAAAGCATCCTCCCCAGACTATTTTGTTGACTATCTCTGGATGCTCCTCCTGCAGAGGGACAGGCCCGACTTGAGTTCTCGGGGGCGGCAAAGAGCGGGGCGTCTGAGAGGGGGGGTGCAAATCATGGCCGGCGGTATGTGCGCGGCCCAGCGGGGGGGCCAGGGACGTAATGAAATAATAATAATAATAATAAAAATAATAATAAGAAGAAGAAGAAGCGCCATGAAATCTGGGGAACTATCATGGCCACCGCCATGATATCCACCCCCCTCTAGTCATCACCCCCCTCTTGGCCGCCCCCCACACAAGCGCCCGCGCCCACGCCCACGCCCGCCCCGGCCCCTATACGTAGGCGGTGGAGCCCACGACGTCGGAATCGCAGCGTGCGGAGGGTGTACCAACGCGGACGTGCGGACGGGCGCTGCGGCAGGGAGATAGCTCGGAGGCAACTACTGGGAGGTCTTTGCCGGTCATCACCCCCCTCTTCTCCGCCCCCGATCTCTTCTTCGTCTCCCCCCAACGCGCACCTGCCGGGCGCCCACGCGCGGGCCGCCCCGTCGCCCACGCGCAGGGCGCACGGCCCCGCCGGCGGCACCTCGGAGGGGGGGGGGAGTAAGTGCACCTCCGTCTGCGGGCGCGGCCTCGCAGGCCGAGGCCCCGAGCCGCGACCCCGCGGAGGGTCGACGTTTTCTCCTCCTCCTCCTCCGCCTCTTCCTCCTCTTCCTCCTCCTCCTCCCCCTCCCCTCCTCCTCCTCCTCCTCCTCCTCCTCCTCCTCTCCTCCTCCTCCTCCTCTCCTCCTCCTCCTCCCTCCTCCTCCTCCCTCCTCCTCCTCCTCCTCCTCCTCTGATGATGATGATGATGATGATGATGATGATGATGATGATGATGATGATGATGATGATGGTGATGATTGATGATGATGATGATGATGATGATGATGATGATGATGATGATGATGATGATGATGATGATGATGATGATGATGATGATGATGATGATGATGTGGCGTCTCGACATTGGGCGGAAGGGGGGAAGGGGGGGGGGTCTGGCTCGAACTGTGCGCCCTCTGGGGGAGACTCCACCTGCTTCCAAAACAGGCGCCCACAACAGCCAAGATCTGCTCCGTGGGGGGGGGGGGCGAGGGCTCGCGCCGATCGGCAAGACAATGAATAAAATTAGCCTGGCGAAGAACCCAACCATATGCAGTTGTCAGTACCGCAGCTGCGGGTTTCATCTTCAATGGAACTCCCCATAGGATTACGGAACGTGTGAGGGGTGTGCCGAGATGGGTGCCACTGGGGCATTCGGCGAAGCTCCCTATGGGGACATGAAACACGCGCGGGGCGTGCCGACATGGGTGGCGGAAACGCATGTGCGGGCCGCCACTGGGGCCTCCAGTGGAGCTCCCTATGGGTCCCCGAAACATGATGCTGCTGCGGGGGGGGGGCCGGGATGGGTGGCGGAGACGCATGTAAGCGCCGCTACTGGGGCCTTCGGTGGAGCTCCCTATGGGGCCACGAAGCGCGTGAGGGGTGTACTGGGATGTGTGGCGGGGACGCATGTGAGCGCAGCCACTGGGGCCTTCGGTGCAGCTCTCTATGGGGCCACGAAACGTGTGAGGGGTGTGCCGAATTGGGTGCGGGTGGTGACGCATGCGGGCGGCAGCACTGGGGCCTTCGGTGGAGCTCCCCATGGGGCCACGAAACCTGTTGTTGTGAGGGGCGTGCCGGGATGGGTGGCGGGGACGCATGTGAGCGCGGCCGCTGGGGCCTTCGGTGGAGCTCCCTATGGGGCCACGAAACGTGTGAGGGGTGTGCCGAATTGGGTGGGTGTGGGTGACGCATGTGAGCGCCGCCACTGGGGCCTCCGGTGGATGATGGGACCACGAAACCTGTCAGGGATGTGCCGAAATGGGTGTGCGGGACGCATGCGCATGTGAGCGCCGCCACTGGGGCCTTCGGTGGAGCTCCCTATGGGGCCACGAAACGTGTGAGGGGTGTGCCGAAATGGGTGTGGGTGACGCACGCGGGCGCGGGCACTGGGGCCTTCGGTGGAGCTCCCTATGGAGCCACGAAACGTGTGAGGGGTGTGCCGAAATGGGTGTGGGTGACGCATGCGGGCGCGGGCACTGGGGCCTTCGGTGGAGCTCCCTATGGAGCCACGAAACGTGTGAGGGGTGTGCCGAAATGGGTGTGGGTGACGCATGCGGGCGCGGGCACTGGGGCCTTCGGTGGAGCTCCCTATGGAGCCACGAAACGTGTGAGGGGTGTGCCGAAATGGGTGTGGGTGACGCATGCGGGCGCGGGCACTGGGGCCTTCGGTGGAGCTCCCTAACGAAACGTGTGAGGGGTGTGCCGAAATGGGTGTGGGTGACGCATGCGGGCGCGGGCACTGGGGCCTTCGGTGGAGCTCCCTATGGAGCCACGAAACGTGTGAGGGGTGTGCCGAAATGGGTGTGGGTGACGCATGCGGGCGCGGGCACTGGGGCCTTCGGTGGAGCTCCCTATGGAGCCACGAAACGTGTGAGGGGTGTGCCCACGCACGAAACGTGTGAGGGGTGTGCCGAAATGGGTGTGGGTGACGCATGCGGGCGCGGGCACTGGGGCCTTCGGTGGAGCTCCCTATGGAGCCACGAACGTGTGAGGGGTGTGCCGAAATGGGTGTGGGTGACGCATGCGGGCGCGGGCACTGGGGCCTTCGGTGGAGCTCCCTATGGAGCCACGAAACGTGTGAGGGGTGTGCCGAAATGGGTGTGGCTGACGCATGCGGGCGCGGGCACTGGGGCCTTCGGTGGAGCTCCCTATGGAGCCACGAAACGTGTGAGGGGTGTGCCGAAATGGGTGTGGGTGACGCATGCAGGCGCGGGCACTGGGGCCTTCGGTGGAGCTCCCTATGGAGCCACGAAACGATGTACTGGGTGGGTGAAGAGGAGAGGAGGAGAGGAGGAGAGGAGGGGAGGAGAGGAGGAGAGGAGAGGAGAGGAGAGGAGAGGAGAGGAGAGGAGAGGAGAGGAACGCGGGGCACCGTCTCTTCAAAACGAGGACCCAACAACCACAGGATGGTTGGGAAAAACGATCGCGCTGTTCCGCGGACAGCCCCGCGCAAGAGGCATCCGTGCGACCGCGCATCCGCGAGATCGCGCCCCGGAGTGCCGAGGGGGACAGCAGGCGACCACAACAGCATCGACTACACACCATGGGGGGTGGCTTGCGCATGCCAAAAACTGCCGAGCACGGGAGCCAGCTCCGCACTCGTTCTGGGCGAGGTGGGCATCCAGGACGACCACACCGACCACGCCCAGGACCGATGCGCTCCTGCCGAGGTCGGCGGATTCTCCCCCGAGGAGCTCTGCAGGAATATCTACCAGCCTGGAACAGATCCCTATCCCTATGCTGGGCACCTCCTCATCACGATACCAATCTTAGGGATTCCCTTATGTTTTGAGGGCGAATCCCTGAGACTGCCATCGCCTTTTGGCGTGTCAATCTTAGGGATAGGGATACGTTCGAGGCTGGTAAGATATCGCCTTCATGGTGGTTGTGGTCATCTGTTGTGCCAGGAGACCCGGGTACAATCGAACCTGTTTGGGCAAGACGCGCGAGGGGACACGAGACCCTTCCGAAGGCCACCTTGCCACAAGAATGCAGAAGGCAGGGGTCGCGAAACACAGGGCGCAGGGGTGGTACCCTTTATCGGGCGGGGCCGACCTACTTCTGCGGCAACCCATGGGGGCCTCCCATACCATCTTGTCCGCTCTTGCGAATCGACGCTAGTCGACGCAAAATCGACGCAAAATCGACGCTAATCGACGCTAAGTCGGCGCTACATCGGTGCTATCTCATCGACTCCCACACGCTAATGGACGCCAATTGCGAGGGCATACAAGGCTCCCATGACTTGCCACCAGAGACCTACTAATCAAGGCCGACGGTTCATTGCACCGGCCTTGCAGACGTGCTGCAGCGGAGTTCTGCGTGGGTATCTGCGTGGATTTCTGCCCGAATCGGCGAGCGAAAAACAAAGTAGATTTCGCGCGGATCCTTTTTGGTGTTTCATTCCTGGCCAACAAAAAAACGCACGAAACTGACCTCGAAATCCGGAACGACTCTCCAGGACACCCCGGGCCCACCCTATCGTTTCCCGAACGGCATCCGCTCTGCGATGCTGTCGCCAATACCAAAAAATGTGTTTACATAAATATATATATATATATATATATGTGTATGTGTATATATATATACGTATATATAAATTAATCAAAACAAAACAAAACCCTCCCCAACTTCTGAGACTTCCTCCTGCGGAGGGACGGGCCCGACTTCTACAAACCTACGCAGCAGGTCCGACGGCGGGCTCGCCGCTCGCGAGCACCAGCAGGCCCAGGTGGCAGGTCAGCCGCAGGTTGCTCGGGCCGCAGTGCGCCCGCAGCCGCGCGCCCGGCTCCAGGGCCGAAAACGTGCACTCCTCGCGGGGGGGAGCCTCGGCGGAGGACGCACGGCACCGCGAGGGGCACCACTGGAAGCAGGAAGCACGACAGAAGCAGAAACTTCTGGCGCTCCGCGCGGACCTCCTGGATCTGCGCTGGACACCCCGCCCTGGCGCTCGAAGCGCGCCAGGGGCGGCGCGGGAGGCGCCGCCGGAGGGGGGCCCAGCGCGGATCCGAGAAATCCGCGCGGAGCGCCAAAGGTTTATGTTTATGGCGTGCTCAGGGACACACACAAATAAACAGGGGCCCAGGGACACACAAATAAATACACACAGAAGCCCAGGATGCGCCAGATTTCCTCATACTATCTGAGCTTTCGTCTTCCCCCCCTCACTTTTCCTGTAGTTTCTTACATTTGCCTGGGAATCGACGATTCAATTGTGTCTGTGTGTTTCCCCTCTTGAGGCATGGCGACCCCTCTCCCCGCCTTTTGCAGGGCTCCCGACCCCAGACCCCCTCGAGACATAAAAGAACGGCGACGGCAGGTTTCCTCCATGTGTTCGGCCTCCGTGGGCCCTCACCGGAGCCTCGGGACGGTCAGAACACCACTCGGGATGAACAACCGGTCCCAAGGACTGGGTCGAGACCTCTGGGAGTCGGCGCTTTGGCAACTGAAATCAAGCCGCCCGGGGCAATTAGAGGGCCGAAAATCCACCCCGATAATAATTACCCCGACACGCGAAGCCGTTGAGCAACCGCACCCACAGAAGGACGCGAACAAGGCAAGGCTGTTTAGTAAACGCCCAAGGCCGTGTAATAAGCGCCAATTGTCCGGCCCAGGTGGTTTCTCCTCCCTTGAGAGGGGTGTGCGGAGGACGCACGGCACAACGGGGGGGGGCGCATGGCGACCTCCTCCCCGACGTTGCGGGGGGGATCCCGAACCCAGACCCCGTCTCGATGGAGGCCTCACCGATGGGGTCGGAGTAGATGGCGTCGGAGGATCGCGCCGCACTGCCGATGCATCGGCGGAGCATCGGCAACGCACCGGCGATGCATCGGCGAAGCACCGGCGATGCACCGCCGACGTCGGCGATGCATCGGCGACGTCGACGTGAAGAGCATCGGGCTGCACATCGAGCCGCATCGGCGAAGCATCGGCGATGCGGCGCGGTTCTCCGACCCCACCGATCCGACCCCATCCAGGAGGCCGAGAGTTCTACACGCGGGCTCGCTCGCGCCTCCGCGCCCCGGTTTCGCCCCGATCGGGGATGGGCAGACCCCCCTGTAGCAAAACGTGGTTTAGCGAAAACGACCTGAGGCCCAAACCTGGCGGGCGCGAGCCTGGGAAGTGGCGGCCACGGCGCCCTCTCGAGAAGCGAAAACGGACAATTCACCAATCGGCGTGTCACTGCGGGGGGCTCGGTCCAGCCCCGACCAGACGCGCGTGCAGACTGCCTCTGCCGCGCTGCGACACAAAACACCACCCCAAAAACAAACTTCGCCGCCCTCGGCCTCCAAGGGGGGACCCTCACCCTGCCCCAGGGACCGGCAAGCAGGGCTGGACCTAAACATTGTGTTTCGTTTTGTTGTCGCTTCGTGTTTCGTTCTGCTCCGCCTGTTTTCCTTACCTTCCCTCCCAAAACGAAAAGCACACACACAGCCGAAGTCCAGAAAAGCAGCGTTCAGGTCCAGCCCTGCCTTGAAGCAACAACGCGGGATGGTACCACGTCGTGAAAAAGACATGACGTCGGGGTCGACTGCACGCACGAAAGACCCTGGGTAAAAGTGACCTTTGGTGCGCGGCTTTTTGGGAGCCGCGGGGAGACCGAACACAAGCGCGCAAAACGCTACTACCGCATCGCGTTCTGCGATCGGGGATGCCCATTGGGCCCGCACTAAAGGTCACTCCGGCGAAAGGTCACTCCTACGTGTCGTCGACGGTGGTCTGGGGAAGAGATCCGCAATCCTCGTGGCGCGCCGTAGGGTGCAACTGCTGGGAGGCCTCCGCAGATCTGATGGAATGCTGCCAGGCCCGCTTCTGGAGCCACTCCGCCCCGGCCGGGCCCAGATGGAGCAAAGGACTCCGCCCCACCGAGGCGGCTCAGTAGAGTCAAGAGGTGCTGTGGCAGACTGTGGGCTGGCTTCCGACCACGGACACGGCAGCGCCGATGCTCACAGAGACACACACACACACACCATTCGCCCCTTCCCGCTTCCCCCTCTCCCTGATCCGACCTTCCTCCTTTCGGGTCGGGCGAAAAGGAGGGATAGCAAAGGGGGGGTTTGAGAATCAGCTGATCTTCCCGGCGCCCCCCGGCGCCGGAGGCGGCCATGTATCGAGAAATGGCCCCCTCGGTGAGGCCGAAACCAGCTGCATGCAGCAAATTTCGCAACCCTCCCTTTCCCAATCCGCCCCTTTCGTCCGGCCCGATCCTTCCATCTCCTCGTACCTTCTGCCTCCTCCTGCCTGCCCCTGCCCCCTGCCAGCTCCTCCCGCCTCCCACCGCGACCTCCCGAGAGCTGCCTCCCAACACGACCCCGGTGCGGCGGGCTCGCGCCGCCGCGGCGGGCCGGCGCGGGCCTCCGACGCCGCGCGGCCGCACGGCCGCGGCCGCCGACGGCGCGGAGGGTCCGGCGGCGGCCGCTCCGGGGCCCCCGGCGGCGGTCCACCCTGACCGCCCGCGCGGGGGCCGTCGCCGCGCCCACGCGGCGCGAGCCTGTCGATCCCGATACCGATGCCGAACGAACCACACACACACACACCGATACCCACAAGGGGGTCGTTGGGAGGAGGACTGGCTGTGGGTATGGGTGCGGGCTGTCGGGCCCCAGGGAAAGCTCGCGTTCGAGCGGGGACCCCCCATCCGACAACACGCACCCGTAGCCCTTTCCGACGCCCCTGTGGGTATGGGTGTGTGTGTTGTCGGTTCGTCAACCGATGCCCTTCCCTGCTGTTCGCCTCTGAGGGGCCTCCGAAGGGTCCCTCGTCCCTCTGCCCCTGGGATGCGACTTGGGACGACCGACATGGGTACGGAAAGAATGGGTACAAAGACCGACAGCAGTTCTTGTTCATTTTGAACAGGATTCGCTGTCGGCGTCGCCGCGGATCGTGTCCAGTTGAGACAGAAGGCCGCCTACCAAACAGCGGCCGCTGTTGGTTCGGGACAACATTTGCTGTTGGGCACTGTGCCCATTGCTTCCGTGCCAAATTTGTGGCGTCCAAAGCGACAGCGAGGACATCTCCGCCGCCGTGCCTCCGGCGCGAGATGGAGAGCCCCTGGCCTCACGCCGCACTGAGAGGCAGACGCTGCGCGGGTGCCGGTTGCCACAATGGCTGGGGAAACACGTGGTGCGAGAGATTGGCAGGGCTCTGGCTACAACGCTCGGCCACATGAGCGACTTCAAAAGGCCGGGGCTGTGCAGTCTGCATCTCGAGGGCGTCCGAGAGGGGGGCGTCCAAGTGGAGGGTTCTAAAATCAAGGCCGGAAGCAAGTGCGCGGACAAGGGGGGGTCAGGAAACGTGTTGAAAAAGGGAGGGGGGCAGCAAACTCAGCGAGATGTCTTTATCCGTCTAGTCATCACGCCCCTCGAGTCCCCCTAGTAACACTATGAGAGGACTTCCTGAGAAACGCCAAAAACAACTATGCCACATTAAGGGGCCATTGACGCTAATTGGCCCAAGATGAGCCCGGGATGAAGCCGGAGTGAACCCAATGAGGCGAGAGTCAGCGGAAGTGGACGGGACGTGACGGCTTAGTCAAATGTTCGGCCACTGATGCACAGGAGCCTATGCTGAATTCTTAGAGAGCAGAAACTCCACCCCGACAATAACCACCCCGACACGCGAAGACGTTTAGTAAACGCACCCAAAGAAGGAACCAAACAAGGCAAGGCTGTTTAAGAAAATGCCCAAGGCCGTTTAAAGAGCGCCAATTGTCCGGTCCGGGTCGTGTCTCCTGCATTGAGTTTTAACTCCCAGGAGCTGCATCCTGATTAGCTTGACGGCATGAACACATAAACTTTTGGAGGTCCGCGCAGATTTCGAGGATCAGCGCAGGGCCCCACCCCTCCCTGGAGCGCGGAACGCCTAGGGAACGCGCGGAGCCGAGGGCGCCGCCAACGCCGATCCAAGAAATCCGTGCTGACATTACAAATCTCATGTAGTATGCATTCTGCCTTCGAGGGTCGCATCCGAACTCCCACCCATCCTGTCTTGCTGAGTCCTTTGTGCTGAGGTGGCAGCGCCCCGCGACCCACCTCGCCCACTCACTCCCAACGCCCCTCCCCCCTCCCTCCTCCCGTCTCTGCCCTCCTCCTGTTCTCGTCGTCAACGTCATCGCCATGGTGCGCTCATGGTCCCAACATCTCGACTCGTTCCTCCTTCCGGGCCGTCTCTCGGCGGCCCTGGGGCCGAGCGAGGGGCCCCTTCCAGGGCCGAGAATGGCGAAACACGTACGTCATGTTTTGCTGTTCACTTTGCGAGGGGGGCTGGGCACTTGCATCAGGTCGGGCATGTCCCCCTACATGGGGAGTGTAGGCGAACGAAACATCAAACGCACGCACGAAATACGCGACAATGGTCAAACATAGTCGCAAAGTAGTTCCCAGACTGCTATTTTCTGACTGTGTGTGTGCATGTTCCTCCTGCAGTGAGCCCTGCCCGACTTACCACTTGCATGATTACGCGCCAATCCCTCGCCCACTGATTTTTAATCCCCCCCCGCGGGTCCCCGATCCCGTGCTCGGCCGCGCCCCGCGCGGCCGGGATGCCGCGCAGCATCTCCAGCGTCCGAGGGCACGCGGCTTGGTCCGCCGGGTCGGCGCCCTCGCCACAGAGGACCACCTCGGAGCAGCTCGTTGAGATCGGCCAGCACCGGGCCCGCAGTCCTCCTCCTCCTCCTCCTCCTCCTCCTCCTCCTCCTCCTCCTCGTCCTCCTCCTCCTCCTCGTCCTCCCCCCCACCCCCTCAGCCGTTCTGGCACAAATTTGTGTTTGTCGACACCAACTTCGGAGCGGCACTGCGTCAACGGGCCACTGGCTCAGCGTAGGCTTCTCGCGGCTATCGCGGGCGTATGACACCCATTCTTCCCATTTGCACCATGGTGGTGGCAAAAGACAGGGGAGAGGAAAAGGTTTCGGTCGGGATGATCGGACCTGTGAATCACCTCGCTGGAACCGCCCTGGCGCATATTCGTTTTCTACCTGGTGGAACAATTCCACACAATCAGGCAACGACGGCATCTCGAAGGTCAAGTGCAGCACGTGTGGTTGTGCCAAGAACCAAAGTCGCCGCAATACTGCAAGCAGTGTGGTTCCCCGTTTGCTGCTGCGCGCCCTGCTGACGGTAGTCATCCTTCCAGCGGTGCGTGGGTTCAGGTCCCTCCTGGGGTGTTCAGCCCGCCGCCGACCTGGACCATGCAGTCCCAGCAATCTCACGGTCAGCCTGCTGTCCCACCTGGACAGGCACCAACAGTTCAGCAAGGAGGTGGTGCTTCCCATGCAGGTACAGGGGCTCCGAAGGCGGCCCCTCTCCCTGTGGGCGCCTAGAGTCAGCTTTCTGCGTCGGAAGCCCCAGCAACTGGTGGACCTGGCTGGCAAGGGAAGAGACCTGGCCAACGCATCCAAGAACGAGGCTGAGGTCAAGCGTCTCCGCGTCCAAGAAACCCCCAAGCGGCCAACACCGTTGCACCAGCGCGTTCAACAGCAGTTCGCGGTGGCCTCGCGGCTGGCGAAGGCTCTTGACAAGGAAATGAATAAGTGACTGGCGCGGAGGAGCGACATCGTGCAGCTCGAGAGTGCTGCGCGCGCAGTGCGCGCTGAGGTCGAGCAGGCAGACCCTGTCCACAAGTTCCTGGTCACGGAGTTGGAGCAGCAGGCGTGGGATATCTGCAACGAGTCCTTTGACCTGGCCACTGTGCTCACCATTGACGAGGCTTGCTTCTTCGAGGGCGACGAAGAGCTCGGACAGGAAGACCACGACGATATTGCCAAGCAGAAGGATGACCTCAACGCGGGTGTTTCCAAGCTGGCGGAAGAGCTGTCGGGCCCAACGGTGGCTGCTGCCAAACAAGTTCGAGAGTCGCATCGGGGAGACCTCGCTCGCTCGGCGGCCAAAAAGAGGCGCGCGGAAGATGGCGCAGCCGCAGGCGGCGGAGAAGCACACAAACCTGTGCCTGAAGGCGCACGTGCTGATGGCCAAGCACCCGCTGAGCCCGACCCTGAGGGCAGAGGCGCCGAATCCGAGGCAGCTGCGCAGCCGACTCCTGGGGGTGGAGCCTGCAGCTCGGCTGGCGATGTGCGGGCCAAGGCAGAAGAAGCCCTTCGCCCTTCCCCATCCTGCCCCTGGCGGGGCGGGAGGGAACGGCAGCGCGGCCTGGCCGCGCATCCGTCTTCGCATGTGCCTCTCAGCAGCAGCGCTCACCATGTGAGCGCCCCCACAAGAGGCCAGCCCGGCGCCGACCTTTTTCTCGGGTAAACACGGAAGTGTCTCTTGTCTCTGGCCTCCAGCAAGCAAATGTTGCCCCGAGGAAATCCAGGGGGCGTATATGAGCCCTGGATGCCCTTGGGGGCAGTCGCCACCCTTTGCTGAAGACGCGCTCGGAATCTACTGGCTCAGGACGCCGCGCCATCCAGGTGTGCACTCACCCCGCGACGGAGCTGGAAGCCCTCTCGTTGTTTCGCTGGCGGACGCCTGCCCTGCGCATGTCTTGGCACAAGCTGTTGAGCGCGCCCATGCCAAGGCCTCGCTTGCCCTTGGCAGCGTGCCCGCTCATTGGTCTGCGTAGGCCAAAGCTGGCCAGGGCCCCGGGGCCAGCCCGTCCCGCCAGGGCTCCTTCGGGCTCCGAGGCCCCAGTGCCTTCGGCCAGGCCGCGCTAGGCCAAAATGTCGTGCAGGCCCAAGCCTTTCACTATTTTCCCATCCACTCCCCGAAACCCAGCCGCGGAGATTCCCGGGTGGAGCTCGTTGTTTCGACTGTCCACGTCGCATCATGGCACTCGGACACGGGTGGCGACCCCAAGACCTGGCTGCCAAAATGTGGACGTCACATTCTTTTCATCCAGGTGCACCTCTTGTTGAATCCTGATCTTGACGAGGCCATGGGTTGGGCCCATCGTCACGGGTGGAACAAACAAACGATTATTGGGCCCGCTGCGCCAGGAGTCGGACGTGGCACTTCGTCTGGCGTCGGGATCCCAGCCCGAAGCTCCCTGGGCTGTCACGCCCCTCCAGGGGGGGGGCACAACGTCGATCGACATCGCTCTATCGGTGCCATCGTGCGCGCTCCAGAAGAGGGACCAGATTTTGTCTGCAGCACCTACCTGCGCACGCGCGATGGGCTGTCAGAGTCCAACGTGGAGCTCCTGGCCCTCATGGGTACGGTCGTTGAGCAGGTTGCCCTACCCACTATGATTGGTGCTGGCTTCAATATGAGTCCCGACATGCTTGTCCCCTCTGGCATTACAAACCGCTTGCGTGCGCAGGCCGCTGCCCCAAGCAACGTGACCGGCCACGCGCGGTACTAGCATGCTCGATTACTTCGTCGTGTCCTCGGGACTCGCGGCAGGCATCTCACAGGTCGAAGCAATTCACCCATCGAACATCGTCGACCATCTACCAGTGCAGCCCCGGTTTCATGCTGGCATTGGGCAGCTCCACGGCCTTGTTCTTCGCGAGCTGCCGCCGCTGCCGACGGAGCCGCCGATCGGCCCTGCGCCGCCACTACCTGCGCGGTCAGCGGTGCTAGCCGAAGTTGACCGCGCCCTTGCTGCTTGTCGTAGTGGCGACGCACATGCTGCACAGTGCATGCTCGACGCCCTCTATAAGCATGGGGCCGACTAAGCTGGGGGGGAGCTTGCGGGGGCACGAAAAACTACCCTCGAATGGTGGGGCAGCGGGGGGGAAACGCAGCGGCAGAAGTGGGTTCCCATCTTGGATCAAGGTAGTGCGGCCCCGCGCCAACAAACCCAGCTCTTCTCCCTTGTGTGGTCGGTTAGTAAGCTTTGGCTTCCCCTTCTGCTTGACGCGTTTGGCACCAGGTCCGCCCAGTCCCAGGGGGTGCGGAGACTTCCTTGTTCCCAGCCTGCCTCTCTGGGTACCCGCGCCGACCGAGTCTCGAGAGCGCAGCCACTTTTAGGCCAGCACGACCTGCTTGATCTGAAGACTGGTGAAGCTATACTCTCAGTCTGAGATGAGCACCTGGCGACGCATGCTTTTAAAGCCAAGTCGCAGGCGCTCTCTGAGTGGAAGAAATTGATGCTCGAATAGACTGGTCAGGGTGCGCGGCGAGCTCACCGGCATGCGCGGGGCAATCAACCACGGGCCCCCGCCGCCCCTCTGAGTCGTGATGGAGCCTCAATGTCAGACCCCTGGGCGCTGTTTGCTGCCGAGGCCAGACAGTTCAGCAAGCTGTGGGAGGCCTCGGACACCCCGCCCCGCTTGGACCCCACGTTCCAACATGTGCGCCCCCTCCTCGGGCTCACTGATGGCGAGCCCCACTCAGCCTCTAAGCGATATTCTTCACGGTCCGCCACTGCTGCCGATGGGTTTCACATGAAGCGTTGCGCATCTTTGTCGGGCGGGGCCCTTGGTGTCCTGGGTGCCCTGTGCTCGGCCATGGGGGCCTCTGGGTTCTTCCCTGGGCAGGTGTACTGATGGTTCTGCCCCTGCTCAAAAAAAACCGTCTTGGGGGGGGTCCAGGGCCATCGTCTTTTTTGCAGCCCCCCTCGCCTCTGGGAGCGCTGCCGTCGGAGATGTGCCGTCCAGTGGGGCCACGCATTCCAGCGCAATTATTTTGCGGGGTCCCAGTGTCGTCTGCCGTCGACGTTGCCTGGACGTAATCTTCACGCGCAGAAGGAATTGCGTCCAAGAAGGAAAAGAAGCCAGCTGCACGCGGTTGTGGGATCTCGACAAATGTTCCGAGCTGGTCAACTATCGACGCTCCTTCAGCGGTGCCACCAGCATCAGTTCCCTGTCCAGATGGCTACGCTGGCGGTGCGAAGGCATCGGCACGGCAGGTTATCTCGTCGTCAGGAACGGTGATTGGAGCCTTTTTCGCCAACAACGACGTCGTCGCCGGTTGCAGGCTCGCGACCACCATGGTGCGCGTGAATGCTGCGCCAGCGCCCGGTGCCCTGCAGCCCCCGCCAGGCATCGCGCTAGACGCATGCATCGACGATTGCGTTCTCAGCTGCGTCGGCACTGGCACCCACGCTGTCAGCCACCCCCCTGAGGCACCAGCGAGCCTCAGGGCCGCCATCGAGGAGGACATGGGCGGTGTTATTTCGGTTGGTAAAGCTTCCCTCGTCGGCTCGACGGACGCGCTCGCCAATCAGGTCAGGGATCGATTGGGGAGCCCGGCTGGGCCCGTGGCCCCATCGGGCGTGAGCATGGGGATCGATTTCGCCCCTGGAACTCCCCGTCGGGCCCCAGGTCTCGGCAGGAAGTTCGGCGACCACAAGCGCGCGTTCAACAACGAACTCCAAAGGCTCAAGAGGGCCAAGAGGCCTCTTAGGAGGCATGCCTCCAACGTTTTAACCGCTGGTCCCCTCCCCAGTCTCACCTCGGGGGCTGATTATCACGGTCTTTCCAATTATGGATGGGATAGGCTGCAGATCGCTGCCGCAAGCACGACGCAGCCTTCTGCCAAGATGAGGTCGAGGACCTCCCTGCCCATGCTTTCTCATGACCCTACCTGGCACACTGCTGTGGCGCCTGCCGCGCGCTACGCCGAGGAAATTGTGGGCGAACCAAACCACGCTGCTTCCCTGCGTCATCCCCTGGTCGGAGCTGCGGCAGATGTGGCCTTCGGTCGCCCTTTCCCCTGGGCCCAAGACGTGGCGGGGCG